GCTGTTTCCTTCTTGATTTCCCTTCACAAAAAGTCCCTTGCAAACCCTTCATTCGGAGGGGATTGTGAGAATGGTCCATGTCTGGCCTCTCCAGAGGTGGAGTTGCCTTCGCCGAATGTGTGAGGACCTCTCCTCGAGGATGGTTTCAGGTCGCACCGAACTATGGTTCAACGTCTTGAACCCCAAGAACATCTGACACCGAAAGGAAGCAACCTATCTGGAGCTTAAGGTTCCACACCTAAGGTGGACACTGAAAAATATGGGTGGACACTGGACACTGAAAGCTTCTTCAAACCGTTCGAGTCAATTCAAGCCGTGGCAGGGCCTCCGAATCGATTGGAATCGAGGCCTCGAATCGACTCGTTCGCAGGTGGCGGCGCCTCCCCTGAGCTCCGCGTGGTTCAACTGGCCGGCCAAGACCTCGATCTTCTTGGGGCTCAGCGACTCGGAAGCGTTCCGATGGACATGTGGGTATGGGTCAAAGTTAAACCAGGGGACAGCAGGGTTTAGTCCCTGTTTTACCAGGGTTCCATTTTGGGCACTTATTTTTGACCCACAGCCATGTAGTCGAGAAACCAGAAGGATAAACCAGTCGTCAAAAACAGGTGCGGCAAAGCTGTTGGGAAACTTACAGCTTTTGCACAGACCTTTATGAACAGACATTTAGACAAAGATGTCACTTGGCGGATGTTCCTGTTGAGCTTGGTGGATTGCAGGTAGATAACCTAATGTTTGATGGGAGATTCTGCGTTGCGCGAACCTCTGAGGCCTTTTGGGAATGGTCTCAACTGGCCTTTTCACGTGAACTCAAACGTTTCATACGCCTTCCCTGTTACGCGTGCTCCAAATAAAGGTACGTATTCTATTTACGAACTACATGGTTCCAAAGCCAGTTGCAAACTATTGCGCTGGTCCAAGCTGTTTCGTGACAAGTGGTAGCGGGATATCGTTTCGTAATCCTCTGCGTTGTGGAAAGGTTGTAGATTGGTCTCAGCCGGCAGGATTTTCCTTTGCGTTTCAATCCAGGTGTTTCGTGGTAGCGGGATTTTGTTGCTTAATAAGATCTGACTCTGGTTCTTTTAGCACATCCACATCCCGGCCACCCGCCTCAGCTTCCCCGAGCTGTGTTTTGGGGGTGGGGTCGACAAGTTCTGGCCCAAGCTGCAGAATGGAAGGAGGCTCAGCCCGCTGCATGGTAAACCGGGATTAAACCATGCAGATTAGGGGAGTGCAACTCCTTTAGAGGGACTCTCCAAAGAGAATCGGGAGATTGATCGGGGGTTCCCATGATTGCGAGAGGAAAGCATATGGCTGCGGCTCAGAAAATGGTACCCAAAATGGCCCCCTGGCAAATGGAAAGGTAGACTCAAGCCCGCGTAACCCTAGATCTTTAGTTTTGAGCCACAGCCATATAAGCCAACCGTCCGATTCAAAATCGATCCCCAAAAAGCACACGTGAGCAGCCCACGGGCGCCAGCCCCCTCAATCTCAGTTGACGAGTTTGTGCTTTTTGGCCTGTGTAGTGTTTGGTTTAGGCACACGGCGAACCAAACAATCTTGCTAGCTTCGTCTTTTCAGCCCTTTTTCTCCTCCGCGCGCAAGAAACAGCAAATAATAATAATAAGAAGAAGAAGAAGAAGAAGAGAAAGACAAGAAGACGCACCGCGCGGCTCTCTTTGCGATTTTTCGCGAGGCCACCTGATGCTGAGCGTGGGGTGGTTCTCCTCCGCGGCGTTCCTGGGCGCCGCGGCGACAGCGCAGGCCGCCACGCTGTCGCTGCCCATCTCGCTGGCGCTGGATGCCGCGCTGCTGCGGGCCTCCGTCTCCCAGGCGAGCGAGCGAAGGGGAGCGAGCGAGCGAAGGGGTCGGTCCGGGTCCCTTTTCGCATGGGAAGGACTTGTCACTTGTTCCGTTTTTTTTTTTTTCCCCCACAGAGATTGGAACTGAATTCCTGCTGGGGGTTTTAGATGCGTCACGTGTCGACGTGTCGGGTCGTGGGAAGTGGCTTCATTTTGAGGGTTCTCAAGGCCAGTTTTCGGGCTGGAGATTCCTTTCAACCACGATTTAGAGGCAAACTTTGAGGAGGTCACTTGAATCAAGGACCCAGGTTGAGGGAGATGATAGGAATCGTCCCAATTCAAGAAACCCCGAAGCGCCCTCCGACTGTTTGGTGTTTTTTAGGCACCACGAACATCACCACTCGCCGTTTCTGAGACGGATGGAGTCCTAAGGACCCAACCTGGGGAAATTCTTTGCATATGAAACCACTGTGAGGTTTCCAAAAAATAACACAGGGTGGTTCTTGCTTCGGAGGTGGGCTAGCTACTATAGGGGCCAAATAGTTAGAATGAGCTTGTGGGCACTTAGCCCAATTGTGCTATGATTAAAACTATCAAGCCTATCACATCAATGCCTTTCAGAACCATTTTTGTTGAGGAGACCTCCCTGTGGCATGGAAACGCCCCGTCATGTTTCGAGCTCTCCGGAGCCGCAAGGTGGGGTTCCCGGAATCCAACAAGTTGGACGGCTTTGCTTTTGGCTTCCCTATCCAAGCCCAAAAAGAACACCAGGCACATGGACATGGGCCACACGCGCCTTGCACGCCTTGCTTAGGTCCAGCTGGCGGGAAGCTTCTTCGTGGTGCTTGGCCTATGGGTGGGCCACCAGAGCGGCGCGCCCAAAGAGGCCGACCCGCTGAAGGAGCCGCTCCTGGCCTAAGCGAAGGAGCCGAGAGTCTGGAAGGTGGTGCAAACACCGCCGAGCGAGAGAGGCGGCGGGTGGTTTTCTGGGCGGTTTTTGCCAGAACTCCCCGGGGCGCTGGGCGAGTAGAAACTGGGCCTTGCGTTAAGGCGCGACGGGTGGATACGTGCGATGCACGGATGGCAGCTCAAAAGTTGGAATTTCGGGAAAGCTCTGAACGCGGTTGCTTCGTGTTGGTCCGTTTGGAAGGGACATGGGGGCACACCATCTTTCCAACAAGAACGAAGCAACACCGAATTTTCGCATGCCCATATGGCGCCGCTTCTGTTGACGGTGGCTTGTAGGGGTATTTGACTTGACCATCTCGGAGTCTGAACAGGACATGGGAAACATAACAGCTTTTCTGTGGCTCATTGGCTGGACTGGCAGTCATTGGTATCGCACAAGGGTAACTGGCCGCAACACCATGATTTTTGATGAGACAGAAGCCCATGAGTGACTGTGCAGGGAGACTAATTACAGATTCAAAAGACCTTTTCAGCTCTGTACAAAGCAACAACAGCGGATTCCTCTTGTCTGACGACCTTTTGACATGTTTAAGCCATGCGCGGAAACTTTTGAGCACCGCCCAAGCGGACAATTGAAACATGCCGTTGCCCGCACCTGAGTGGTGCCAGGCCTTCATTTTCCCGCAGCACATTGCGTGAGTGTTAATCCTCTGCCCGTCCCATTTTTGGCAGAAAGTCAGCGTCCCATGTTGGCGCGTCAAACCAGTTGTTCGGCATGCGTGAACGAGTGAAGAACTCCAGATGAGATGCACGAGCCAGCCAGCGCGCTTCTTGGTTTTTGCACCTGTGTAGGGTTCAATGGTTCAATGGTTCATATGATTTGGACCCTGCCAAGCCCACCCGCCATCAGATGATGGACACTTAAGTCAAGCAGCACTACAATGGCCTTGTTAATGAGTGGCGACTATAGGGGCAGGTCACAATTTATATTAGAGAACTCTTGAATCCACATCGAACATTCGACCCTGATTGGCCTGTGTGCAATGGACTTGCACAGTGCGCCAAGCCCGAAGCCCGTGGCGCCTCTTCCAAGTGTCCGATGGCCAAATGCAGAGCCTGGGGTTGTTTCTCGGAGGTCAGTTGAATTCTGGGGCCTTAATGTGCGAGGGGAAGGATACATTTGTTCTTCGCCACTTTGCAAGGGCAAGGCACGCCTAGAGGCGCGTGTGCGGCAGGTAGATGCACAACAGCTGAAAAAGCGCTTCGGCAGACCGATGACGCAGCTTAGTTTTACAGGGAGAAGCTTGTTCCCTTGCTTCCCAGCTGATTCACACCAAGCATGGCCACAAAGAGGATCGCTTCCTCCACAAGAAATAGAGGCACGAGCCGTTTTTGTTTCTCTCAATTTCTGCAGAGGCTCAAGTGTATGGAGCCAGCAGCGAGCTGTTGGCCTTGCGCTACTCTTTTGCGAGCCTTGGGATGTTGCGTTTTTTTGGCCAATGCGCGCCATCCGCGCGCCGGGCCCGGCGCTTTGCGGATATGGTGAACGTAACCTCGGCTCCGTGCAGCAACATCCGATGCGCTGCCGCCTCGGTGAAGGAAGATGGCAAGCGAGTGCAGGCAGGTGTTGCTCAAACTGACTCCAAGAAACGGTTTTGGAGTTTCTTGTGGCTTCCAAAGAAGCAATATGCGTCCCGTGTGCCAGGGTTTGTCTCATGAGGGAATCTAAACAGGGGGAACACCCCACACGGGTCCGTTTGGCTTTCCCTTCCCACATATATTATATATCCATTTTTATCTATATATTTACCGATCTGTGTTAACACATATGATTGCTGTACAGACAGTTTGTACATTCCTTCGATGCCTTTGTGCATCAAGGCCTTGAGCCTTATTGACATTGCCCTGGATACAAAAGCGCTACGCTGGCCGTGCTGACACTCACAGGTCAAACATCAGTTTACACAGTGTTTAACATGGTAGCGGAGCAGTGATGCCTGGTACACGATCCTCACACACTAGGCAGGGTGAGCTCCAACACGCACCCACCCACAGGTTCAGGTACACAGTAGTGAGCAGACATGGCAGCCCAACAACAACAACAGCCACAGGAGCAGCAGCTGGAAGGAATTCACAAGTACAAGATATCACCACCACGGTTCGCAGGAGAATACAACTCCTTTGAGGAATGGAAACACAAAACGACAGCACACCTTGGACCACAAGACCCCGCATACAACAGACTGCTGAGGCAGTCACGGCAATGAACAGGACAAGTTACAAACGCCCAACTTGAGACTGCAGCACCGCAACAGCCCTCGCTACGGTGAGCGCATGCGATGGACCAGCGTCTACAATCTGCAGAGAAAACGTGCAAGGCAACAGATGCCATGTACTTCATACCTCTTGGTACAAGAAGCAGTGTGTACCTAACACGGCTGCTAAGACCACAACTGGATGAACAGAAGTTTCGAAGAGAGCCTCGCAACATGGGGATTTCAACTTTCAAGGTATGCTACCAGACGCAGTCAAGATTGCAATGCTGCTCAATGAGACAAAAAGACCACTACAGCGACACCTACAGCTGCAAGCAGGAAACAACACAACGTACGCACAGATCAGATCAATGGTGATCGAGTACTACAGAGCTACAGCATCATTCACCAGACTACAAGCAATCACATCAGGCAACAACAATCATTGACCAGCCCCGATGGACATAGGAGCGACATGGTACAACAAAGGGAAAGGAAAGAAGGGCAAGCGCAAGGGCAAAGGAAAGCGCAACAAAGGCAAAGGCTATGGCGGCTACGGGAACAACTACAGCTACAACAGCTACAATCAACAGCCGGTTTCTCACATCCTTGGGCTACAGAAACAACCTCTTCGCACATTGGAAGGGATCCATTTGGACACAGTCCACAACAAGACCAATACAATGCACATGGCGATGACGAGCTTGAACGAGAGATGGGGAGCTCAAGTACATCCACGGTTGGGCCAGGAACCCGGAGGTGGATTACACCGGCTGAACAGCTCTCCCTTCGAAGCTGTTGCAACACTTTTGAATTACATCTCCGTGGGCATCTGTTGCGCACAGCATCTTGGCACATTCTATGTGGCTACACTGCAGTGGAACACAAGGCGCATCACAGAATCCCCAGGTGCTACATTCGCTTTTTTCAATCGTGGCTGCAGTGCAATCCACATGCAGGTGCGCAGCAACATGGGCTGGATGCAGACAGAGGATGGGCTGCAATGGCACCACATCTGCAAGTACACCGGCAACAAATGGCCTGCTTGGCCTGTACATGAAGTACAGTTGGCAGAGCGGCTACATTTGGTCACACAATGCCTGCGCCGGCGTCTCGCAACTTGCTACAGACCCGATGGCAGTCCGATGGGCATGCTACAGTGGCGCAGGCCTTGAGCCTCATGGGTGTGAACAACAGTGCCTTCCTGCAGAACATCAGATCCACGCAAGAAGCGAACAGCGTTGAAATCAAAGCACGCTGGAGACTGGAGGGCCTGCAATCCCTCAACATCCAGACCACATCGAGTACATCAGGGAACAGTAGAATGTTTTCTTCCAACACTATGTCGCGACCAAGAACGAGGTGTACATGGAATTCAGTACAGCGGTGAAACAGGGCAGGACATAGCTCACGCATGAGTGGCGTCTTGTACACTAGATTAGCTGTGTACAATGCGAGGAGGAGTGTGAAAACGTATCATGGCTGCACAGACAGTTTGCGTTGCCCTGGATACAAAAGCGCTAAACTGGGCCGTGCTGACACTCACAGGTGAAACATCGCACAGTCACTCAGAGCTCCCCAAGAAAATGAACCTGCGTCATGGATCAGGTCGCAAACTAAGCTATGGTACCTTCAGAAGAAAGCCTTTTTCGCGGCTGGTTTGAAGGGAAACCACCCATGGTCCGGATCCCACAGCTTTGACAGGCGGATGAAGGTTAGTACCCAAACCATCAGTCGGTGCCTCCGTTTTAAATTTGTTTTGCATAGGCCTCTGTCACAGGTGGAGTTCACAGATGGAGCCGAATTTGAGCTGCATGGACTCTGGCTCCGAGACGCTTGTCGGGACGAGAACTTTGTGTCGGAGGTGGCGGGGGAACGCTACCTGACGAGGACCGGGGAGAGATTTTTTGAGCAATATCTGACGGGTGAAAATGGGGTGCTATGGATTTGGACTTTTTTCACCTCGGTTTCCCTTTGATACGGCCAACCACTGAAAAATCAAGCCACAAAAAAAACCGTAGGTTTCAGTCTTTGGTTCCATTTATCAGGGTTGGGGTTTCCCCAAAAATGGAGTCTTAGGTTGCAACCCCATGGTCATATGAGTATTGCAAACATGGCTCCTTAAAAGATACATTTTGCAACCATTTGAAACATGGCTTTCTCCACCAAAATAAGAAGTGGACACCTCCATGTACAAGTTGCAATGTTCAGGTGTTTCTATTGTAAGGATCCCTGCTGCAAACAATGGCCATTTGGGGTTACCTTATGTTTCCACAGCCATGTGAGTACTTGTGGGTACCTATTTTTGACCACAGCCATATGAGTATTGCAAACCAGGCGGTTCCCAAGCCGCCATCTCGCCGCCGCCAAGCCGCCGCCTTGGCCAGGACTGCCTTTAAGGAGAAGCAGTCCCACGCGGACGGCAAAGTGGCAGACGCCAAGGTGGTGGAGGGCAGTCTTCAGGCCGTGGGTCAAAATCCAAATCCATCCCAATCCCCACTAAAATAGAGTAAAACGGGTGGCCCACCTAACCCTAAAATGGGATGCCGTTGCTTTAAAAACCAAATCGTACAGTGAACGTCACTAAAATAGGGTGGTGAATTCACCTACCCACCAACCTACCCACCAAAACGGGTCATCCCAAAACGCTTTTGACACCCGCAGCCAGGTGAAATGGGCGAACGAAGGTTCCTTGAGCGAGGTCGCCTCCATCTTCCCCAGCAACTTCTTGCGAACCTACGCTGGCGTTGTGGGCAGGCATCTGAAAGGAGCTTCTCGTGCCGGTGCAAGCAAGCCTACGCGCGTAGGATTCAATTTGCTTAAGGCCTAAGGCCTAAGCAGGGCTCCTTAAAAGATACATTTTGCCCATTAGAAACATGGCTTTTTCCACAAAAGTAATCGGAACACCACCATTTACAAGGCAATGTTCAGGTGAGCAGCGGTTTTTTTTTAAATGCAGGAGCCAAAAGGAGAGGGGAACTGGCATGGTAGCCGCGTAGCCTACTCCTGGGACCGCGTAGCCTCGCGTAGCCTCCGCGTAGCCACTAGCAAAGGGAGCTGTCGACAATCGTCCGCGTAGCCTCCGCCTAGATCCTTTGTCTTGAGCTCAAGGCTTAGGTTGAAAGCTTGCGTGTCTCAGAGAATGAGGGTGAATTTGATTTGCCTTGGCCCAGCCAGAGCTGAGTTCGCTCATTCCGCGTAGCCTCAGCGTAGCCTGCGCGTAGCCTCCGCGTAGCCTCCAAGGCGTGTTCAAGGCCACTGGCCCACGTGCCTCCTACTACTACTGTTACCATTACTACTACTACTGCTACTACTACTACTACTACTACTACTACTGCTACTGCTACTACTACTACTGCTACCACTACCACTACCACTACCACTACCACTACTACTGCTGCTACCACTACCACTACTACTACCACTGCTCCTGCTACTAATACTTCTACTACTATTACTACTAGTGCTAGTACTAGTACTAGTAGTAGTAGTAGAAGAAGTAGTAGTAGTACTAGTACTAGTACTAGTACTACTAGTACTACTACTACTACTACTACTACTACTACTACTTCTTCTGCTACTACGAACTTCCGGTTGCCGACGAGTATTCGCGTAGCCCCGGCGTAGCCCCCCGCGTAGCCACTTATCAACAAATATGTTCCGCGTAGCCTCCGCGTAGCCAAATTCCTAGGGGGAAAGACAGCCGCGTAGCCTCCGCGTAGGTATGTGCTTCCAGTGTATAGGCCCCACACCATTAAAAAAAACACGGCTCAGGTGTATAATGTAAGGATCCCTGCTAAGGACTTTGAGCAACCAAAGCCTTTGGTTTCAGTATCTATCCGTGGCAACAGGTGGCTCATGGTTATTCTAAGTCTAAGCAATTCGAATTAGAACAGGGATAAGTAGAACATTTGCCTACTTTTTTCTCCTTGTTCGAAGCAAAGCTTGCTTTGGACATCCATTTCTTCTTCGAACTTCCTAATTCTAATTTATTTTTGGTGATGTGCTGTTTTTGCTCACGGCATGATATCCCGCGAGTAGCAGCCCCGCCAACGCGTTTTGGTGTTGGCGGGGGTCTTCGATGTTGACTTTGCTTCAACCAATGCAGCCACACAAGCACAAACTCAACCACAAACCCGTGCGCGCACGCTGGCAGCTGACTGTGCTTACAGGTCTGTTGTGTGTGCCGATTGCCTTGTCAGACCAAGCCACCAGAACCCAACTGTAACCATGTCAGTTTGCATTGGCTTGAGAGAGCCGAACTGCTATTCCGTCAACTTGCATTGGCTTGAGTCCATAGACACGTTCAACAGAAGAAAAACATGCTCAGACAGGTGTAGTCTTGAACTTGTGCAGACAGAAGAGCCGCTCGGACAGGCGAGAATCCGAGAAAGAGCCCGGTCCACCTTGACGCCCTCACATGCTTCAGAGGGCTGCCGGTCTACACGACTGCTGCAAGCAAACACCCTGTAGTCGGCCTGCGCTTTCCAACCATGTCCTTTGCTGAGCTGTCTGCCGCGTGCGCCAAGCGGCTGGCCATGGTCTTGAAACAGCTTGGGGCTGAAACTTCGCCGCTTTTTGTTTTTTCCATCGCATCTTTGCTTCCATGACTGCCTGCGGGCGGCAGGGCTGCTAGCTTGAGGGAACCTGTTCGTACTTTTCCGCTTTCGCAGGGTGATGGGTTTTCGTACCCAAATCCTGGTGGCGGTTAACACCTGTGTTAAAAGTAACAGCTGCAAGCGAAAGGGCTTGAACCCGCACTTGAATTGGAATCTCAAGCGCTGTGCCCTTGCACGAGTTGTGTGCATTCACACCGCTTGCCATTTTGGCCTTTCATTCAAGACCTGACCGCCCTGGAACTTCTGCCATGACTGCACCCTCATGCTTCTTCGACGTCGTGCAGCATTACCAGCTCATGTCGATGACCGAGGTTGTGCCTGACTATGAGCGCTTGTACCATGATGTCCGCTTCGGGCGGTGATCCCTTGACAAACCGGACAAGCTGAGGCTCGTTGAGTCCTACCCATGCTACCCACCCTACCCACCGACCCGATGCCCAGACCGACGCCTTCTGTTTATTCGGGTCCGGACCCCCTTGCGACAAAACCTTGGGTGACGTGACCCCCATTGCACCGCTTGTGAGTTGGTCCTGCAAGACAGCTCTCCCCCCCCTGGGGTGACATTTGTGCCGGTGTGGCGTGTCATCTAACACGACGTTTGTGCCGGTGTGGCGCGTCGATACACCCCTCTCCAATTCCCCGTTGAAACACCATCCCATTGATCCCTAACCCGGCACACTACCGACTCCTGCGTGAGTCCGGCAAGCCGCCTCCAATTCTGAAAGATTTTATTCGCGTCCAGCATATTCCCTGACCGCCATTTCTTTCGCACCATGCCATCCCAGAGACAGATGAACTTTGCCAAGCTCTGCTCCAGTCCTACCACACGGGCATCATCTCGCAGTTCAAGAGCTTTCGGGGCCCGGACACGTCATGGGGGGGAGCGCACCGACCAACAGTCAAGTGGGAAGTACCTTTTGCTTGACTACCTCTCCATCAACCCGTCGCCGTCGACCCTACAGTGCTCTTTCTGCCAGCCCCAACATCAGTCACAGTACATCACGCCACTGTGCTTCTTCGAGGAGACCGCTGGCGCAACAAATGGTACGGCGCCTGCTACGGGTGCGCCACCTGCGACACCAGCAGCGTACCCTGGTTCAACTTCGAGGAGCTCCTCGCTGGACGGACCAGCCTCTCCTTTGAGCACCCGCCGTGTAGCACCGTCACATAGCGCCCGGAACCCTCCAGATCGCGGCCCCGGAGGATGACGACGCCCACATCACCATCCACCGGTGAGACACCGAGCGCAACAGCTGGATCCGCCTTCCCCTAAGCTCTGCAGGCGGGCGTGGAGCTATTTGACCAACAACGCCGCCGGACCGGCTAGCTCCCAGACTTACCAGAACGACCTTCAGGGAGATAGAGCATGGCTGCGCAACCGGGACTGGACTATAATATGCCCCCAGCCCGACACAAGATACTGGACCACACGTGACACGATATGGGTACCCATCCAGCAGTGAGCGCGCTGGAGGACCTGGTGCCATACCGTGAGTCAAGGCCACCAGCCTTGTAGGCCGGCGGCTACCGCTCCTTCCAGAACCACACACCGGAAACGAACCAGCGGCTGATGTCGAACAGGCTTTCTCCGACATAAGCCGTTCCATTCGCCCACAAGGACGAGCTCCTTGCTGTTCCCGTCCGAACGCTCTGACGGCCTTGGCTCCCCTCACCTACGCCAGGGACGTGACCATCACAAGCGTCCGCACAAGTACATCACCTCTGGACGCAGCAGACCGCCCTGGGCAACCGGACCTGCCTCACCCTGCCATTTCAGAAAAATGCCACCGGGAGGCGGGCTCCGAAGCAGTGGCCCGACACATACCGGAGTCCAACCTCGACCAACCCATCTACCGCATCAGGCGCGAGACTGCACCAACAGATCGAGGATGTGGTCAAACGACAGACCACCCTAATGCGCAACACCTTCTGGATCGTGAACACCGACTCCAACAAACAAGGCGCACCTGCCAGCCACGACGGGCCGGCGCAAGAAGATCCGAAGATGGCGTGGCTTGGGGGCTTGCTTGGCTGCTGCCGTGCGCCGAGGCAGACATGGACTCACACAAGGTGAGCAGGGTGGGCCAGAGCAGCGTGCCACTTGTGCCGACAGTGGTTTTTTGCTTTCCACGCTGCCAGGCGCGGTGCCGGGCCGGCTAACAAGCGGCACGCGTTTTTTCCCCGCAACATGGCCTGGGACCCCTGCGTGCGCCAGCATGCACACAAAGCCATGTGCGTCGGGAACAACGGAATCGCCGCCGTCGAGATTGTGGGCAGAGGAGATCAAGGTCAAATTTCGTTCCCCACGTCAAGCGCATGTCGACGCCTTCCGGGAAGTCATCGCTGGTCACGAGTTAAAGTAAGGTTTGCCCCCAACACAGGCAACCCAAGTCCCGGCGAGCTTGTGGCAGCGAAGGTTGGCGTTGGCCGGGCGCCGGACTGCAAATGTCCGGTCAGTAGCGACGCTGTCTGCAGCCCGCGTTGCAGCACTTTGGACGAGTGGCACCGACGGAGGCGAGGGCAACAGCGGCCCTGCAACCTTTGCGGATCATGTTTCAAGTTCGCCGCACAGGCGGATATCGACGGCCTTTAAAACCTAGAGGGCTGAAAAGTCAAAAAAGACCAGGCCGCTCCAAATCTCATGACATTCAATAAACCATTTGAATCTTTTCCAACCCGCAGGATCCGGCTCCACTTAGGCCTTAAGGATGATTGAACCGACCTCCGACCGCAATGGCCACACCATCCCTGAGTGACATCCTGGATGACGCCGGCGTGGAGACCGACGACGACATACGACACCTCGACCACATAAAATCCGATCAGTGGGAGCCCTGGCCCACATGTTCACCGACGGCGAGACGATCAGTACCTGGGTCACACGTTTCACCCCACCGGGTGTGTGCGCGCACCTCCTAATCAGTACAACGCACCATCAACGGCACGAACCGCAAGTTCGCCGGGCCATTGCACGCATGTGGCGCGAACATCACAAGAGCAAACGCTACACCGCACCGGCCCCGAGATCCTGACACAACGAACCTTCACCGCCATGGGCACCACCAACAACTCAGCCAAAGATCGGCGAAGCGAACGGAATTTTCCCGAAGCATCACTCTCAGCAACACGGCGTGTCCCCTCGCCATCATTCACACCGACGCCTTTTGCAAACAGGGCAAACGGACCTGGCGGGCCAAAGACGACGATGGCAGTACTTTTCATCACACCCCACACGGATCGAGCCAGAGTCGTACCGGGTGCACTGCCTCGAAGCATGGGCAGCCCTTATTGCCCCAATCATCTGTCGGCCCTGGCTTGCTAACACTACCTTCAGCTGTGCGATAACGAAGCAGCCAAGCACGCGATCCGCAGGGGAGTAGGCAAACACCAGCCTTTGAACGGCCTACTTGGAGCACATTGGACGCAACCGTCAGCAACTACTAATGCACATAGCACGTGTGCCCACACATGCCGACATTGCTGACCCTTTCAGTCGCCATGACATGTCCTTGGCTCACACCCACGGCTGGCAAATTTTGCAGCCACCGATGCACGCGTTGCACAAACGCACGTGCCGCATCATAGGCGACATTGAGTCGCCCACAACGTCGGATTCGACGGTGTAACGGAACTCCAAAAGTTCCACAAATCCCATTCCACCTGAAACTGACTGGATTTCCATGTCTCGTGAGAGCCCAGACACCAGTAAGGACACCGGCCACGCAGTAAGGATTTCAGTTGACCTACGACAGGAGAACGTCCACTCCGTTTCGATACCTTGCTGTACAACATTTTGGTTTGCATGCATTCGCATTTGCTTACCTCTGGTTCGTTGTACTTTGCTTTCAAGTCAGTGGTGTCTGAGAGACACCGACATTGACTCCAGAGAGAATACTGATCGACCGACAGGTACGATTCCACCCACTTGAGGCAGTGTGGTGAAAAACAGTCAGACCGAAGCTGGTTGCTGTCGAACTCTCTGGAGCGTCTCGTTGTTGCGGTTAACACTTGTGTTAAAAGTAACAACTGCAAGCGAAAGGGCTTGAACCCGCACTTGAATTGGAATGACAAGTGCTGTGCCCTTGCACGAGTTGTGTGCATTCACATCGCTTGCCATTTTGGTGAACAGATCTTTTCATTCCCACCCACCCTCACCCTTTTCACTGCATGCCTCCAGTACCTATCGGTCACTGAATTCAGCACTGATCGAGCGGACGGGAGAACGTCCACTCCCTTTCGGTACCTTGCTGTACAACATTTTGGTTTGCATGCGTTCGCATTTGCTTACCTTTATTTCGTTGCACTTTGCTTTCGAGTCAGTGGTGTCTGAGAGACACCGACGTCGACTCCAGAGAGAATACTGATCGACTGAAAGGTGTGGTGAAAAACAGTCAGACCGAAGCTGGTTGCTGTCGACGTCTCGTTGTTAAACCGGCGTTTTGTGCCAGCGAGTGTCTTCCCGTTCCTCACGCGGCTCGTTTTTTTTTTTTTTGCGTCGGCTCTCCTCCATGCAACGCAGAAGGGTGCTGGGGGTGCGCCACGCTTTCTCGCACTGGCGTGTGACAGCCAGACCCAACTTAGCTTGGTCAGTGACAATGGCAGCAGAAACTCTGGTTCGCTTCACTGTTGTTTTTAGCCGTCTAGAAAGCACACATACATTCGAGCCGAGCCTCGAGCACTTCCAGGACATGCCTTCCAGCTGTCGAGTAACTTTCTCCTTGTTTTTAGCCCGGTATTCGAGGTTGTGAAACTGCGCTCCGAGGAAATGCGCGGAGTGACTCGAGCAAACATGCGCTCAAGCTACTAAGTTTGTTGAGCCGGCGGTTGAGTTCAAAGTTTGCAGGCCCCGCATATACTGAAGCGGGCACTGGGGGGGGGGTACTGCGTCAGCGAACGCAGAGTACGATTCGCCAAAATTTAAGAAACACACCGCAATAAACCACCAGCCACTTCCGGGAGCTGCAAGGAAGACTGAATCACCAGTGACGTTGGAGGTGTAGACCACGTTTGTCTACGAACCAGAGCTCCATTTATAGTTGGTCAGTGGGGGAGTGTTCCGATACTCGAGGTGACCACCGTCACAAGAGCTGTCCTAGCTCGCTTTGTAAAGAACTTTGAACAGAGGCTGGAAACTGCGACATCTACAATAGCAGGGGGTATCCTAGGAATGGACATGAAACCCGAGGGGCTCCCTGTAAAAGGAACATTGTCTCCAGGACCCATTTGTCAGGTTCCATGGAAACTGGTGGGAGGGTAAGAGCAAGCAAAGCCTGTCAGGAGATCGCCATCACACGAGCAAGGAGGCATACCGATGGCTAGAGCCCTACAGTGGATTCAAGGGCGCACCTGCGCCGGATCTGACGCCTGGGCGAGTTTGCACGGGATTAAAACGAGCAGAAAATGATCGGAGGGGTTTTGTCGATCGGGTCATGGCGATGGCCTCTTGCTCACCTGATTTTGCCGTTTTGTGAGGTATTCTCAATGGATGGGATCAAGCACAGCAGTTTTTTGGGGTTTTCCGCGGAAGGCCAGAGTGTGGATAGGGTTTCCACGGCAGAAGTTCGCCCGGGTGTCAAGTCGGATTGGCCTGGGCTTACAAAAGGAAGCGAGAGCTTCCCATGATTAGAGGCTTCTCAAGGAGGGAGAGCGACAGAGTGAAAGGCAAGGTCCCACAGTGGTTTCCCGAAAGCCACAATATGTTTTTGCCCCCAGCGCGATAGTTTTTGAGGGAGTTACGATATTTTTCCGGATAAGCCGAGTGCGGATTGGAAACGCCTTTTTTGCCTTTGTAGTGAAACCAAAGTCGGATTGGCCAGGGAACGATGTGGGACTTTTGCCTGCAGTGGGTTTCCAAGGGTTAAGGCCCAATAGCAGTTACATGAACCCTGAGGTCCATTCCCTTCCAATGGAGATCCAGACCCCTCCACTGGGAGGGTCCAATGATGAGTCTAAAATTGGGAAGCTTCCCCGGGAGAAAGTAGTCCAAAAAAGAGGTGGTGAGGTTTACGAAGCAGGGATCAGGATTACCGGATCACTGAGGAAGCTGAAGAGCCTTTTTAAGAGCGACAACTTCTTCCAGCGGCGGGACTACAAAGCAGTCATCAACAGTGACGAGTCGAATCTGGAAATGGCCCAAGCTCTTGTGCGACATGGTGTTGTCATCATGGAGAATGTGCCAACACCAGCTCTTTGGTACGCCTTTTTTTCATAGAGGAACCTTTTATGTTATTGTCTTTGCCTAAGTATCGGGCACATATCTCACTCGTTCTCGCGGAAGAACCCAGGTGGCGCAGGCAAAGGACAACAGCGTCTTGCTCAACTTTGTCGACCAATGTCTTGGAGGCAGGGCCCGAGTGACGCAAACGTGCGATGTATGTATGTATGTATGTATGTATGTATGTATGTATGTATGTATGTATGTATGTATGTATGTATGTAATGTAATGTAATGTAATGTAATGTAATGTATGTATGTATGTATGTATGTATGTATGTATGTATGTATGTATGTATGTATGTATGTATGTATGTATGTATGTATGTAATGTATGTATGTATGTATGTAATGTATGTATGTATGTATGTAATGTATGTATGTATGTAATGTATGTATGTAATGTATGTATGTATGTATGTATGTATGTATGTATGTAATGTGTATGTATGTATGTATGTATGTATGTATGTATGTATGTATGTATGTATGTATGTATGTATGTAATGTATGTAATGTATGTAATGTATGTAATGTATGTAATGTATGTAATGTATGTAATGTATGTAATGTATGTAATGTATGTATGTATGTATGTATGTATGTATGTATGTATGTATGTATGTATGTATGTATGTATGTATGTGTGCATGTATGTATGTATGTATGTATGTATGTATGTATGTATGTATGTATGTATGTATGTAATGTATGTATGTATGTATGTATGTATGTATGTATGTATGTATGTATGTATGTATGTATGGAATGTATGTATGTATGTATGTATGTATGTATGTATGTATGTAATGTAATGTAATGTAATGTAATGTAATGTAATGTATGTATGTATTGTGTATGTAATCCAATGTAATGTAATGTAATGTAATGTAATGTAATGTAATGTATGTATTG